TTTGTGGACCACACTGTATGTCATAGCTACTCTGCCAGCATAACACAGAAACCACCACCACTGGTTATATAAAACACACAGGAGTGTAACTGTATTCTAATAAAACTTTACTCAAAAAACAGCTGGTAGGCCAGATTTGGCCCAAAGGTCATACTTGGTTGATCATTACTCCAGATCTTTCTACATTTTTCTTCATTCTTAAGAGCAAGAATGAAGTATTTAAAAGTCAAGCCATTTGTGTTTTGCTTTTAGAGTGTTCTTCCCTTATTTTTGTATTGCAGAAAATGCACTTTGACTTAATAGGTGGTTATTTAAGTTGAAAGCAGCTGTGGAGGCAGATAACTTCTCTGAGTATATAGTATGCTCACTGCCATGAATGAGCAATTTTCAGATTCCTCACCTTTAGGTTTAGCTACATGCAAAGCTTGCTGGGACACCACAGCCCCTCAGAACAAGTTTTAGCATGAAATGGTTCCAGAAAATTTCTTGCTGATCTGAATGGACATGTGAAGGCTGAGGTGGCGTGGAAATGACAGAGCTGACTCTAGAAGGCATGGATCCACTGCCTTTACCTCTCAGGTTATGGACTATATCACTCCCAGGGAACCTGAGCTTCCCAAGGATGCCAGAAATCCAGTGAAATGGCATTAGAGGAAGCACAGGAGAGGTCCTCTCCAGGAATTTGGCTTATCTTTGGAGATGGGTGGCCCACCGGCCATAGTAAGATCACTTGTGAATGCAGAAGCACCAGTCTCCCTTGGCCTGCGCTCACAAGCACAGGAGAGAGTTAAGAACTGGGGACCTGACCCTGAGTCCTGGGTTGTTCAGTGGAACCACCTAATACTCTGTTTCAACAAAACCAGTGTCTGCAAATTGTCCTGATAAAAGTCAAGGGGCAGGGGGGAGAAAATCAGAACAGAAAATCTAGTCACAGCATGATTCCAATTTTGCTGAAAACATTTATCTCCATCCACTGAAGCAACACTAGGAAGACATAGATTGAAATGCCAGCAGCAGTTATCTTGGTGTAATTACACATGACTTTAATTTTCCTTTCATTTAGTTCCCTGTGTTTTTCATTGCGGTTTTTATGCCATCCGTATGTGTTGCTTTTATGGGTTTTTTTAAAAGTGTTTTTTTTTTTTTTTACAAGATGAGGAAGAAGAGATAGCCCAGCTTGACTCTGGTGTTATTGAAAAATAAACATCAGGCTCCCCAGCGACAATCCTCCCATCTGCCCTGAAGCGGGCTTCCTGTGGGCTGCATGGAAACTTCCAGAGAAATAAATCTCTACCACTGGAGGATGCCGGAGGGCTTGAGCATTGGCAGGCGAGGGTTCTCCACCTCAGCCCATCTGAGCAGCCCGCCTGGGGGCCTAAGGACAGGTTTGGGAGGTGGGAATACCTAGTGACAGAGTTGTCTCATAGGAATTTCTTCTGGGTTATTCTAAGAAAAGGTAGCAAGTACCCGTTTCCACTTGCCTTGGCTTTCCCTGCCCCCTCTCACAGTTCACTAAACATACCACAGAGTCAAACCAGTGAAAAACATGTCTTGATGTATTGTTTCAAAAGTCATTTTTAAGAGATTAATTTCATTTGGAAAGCATTTCAGAAAAAGGGAGAGTTTCTTAAAGAAACACACACATCCTTTAGAAAGCCAAGCCCGTTTTTAAGGAGCATATTCTTTGGAGGTGATAGGATTCAGGAGACCTTGTAGATACCATTGGCTTTACTATCACATGGCTTTAGGCTGCATTCATATGGCCTAGGCATAGCCAACTTTGCCACAGAAACAGGGAGTTTGCCTGGTAAGGAGCCTTGCATCGTGGTTTCACTGTTGGCAATATGGACAAGTAACTAGAATCTTTCGGTGTCTTTTTGCTGCCACTGAAACCCTACCCATGTCACAGGGAAGCTGTGAGGACCAAAGAACCACACCCCTACTAAGGAACTCCCATCATCCCATTAATTCCTTCTACTATCAATTTTGTTTTGGGACTTATCATTTCCACCTTAATGATACCTCCTATACACACACACACACACACACACACACACACACACACACACACACACCCTTCAAGGTGAGCCTCTGTTGCACCTTAGCTTCAAGTTATTGTCAAGTTCCTCTGTTTAACTGAACTGTTTCAGTGAAGTTCATCCTCTTGCCCCTGAACTCCCCAGAGCAGGGAACAGATGTCCCTGTGACCGCAGGGGTGCCAGTGAAGAGGGTTGGCATCTCACAGAAAGAATTCTGTGAACTAATAGGCACTTGATGTTCACCATCCTCAGATGTCATTACTTTAAAATGTATCTTGAAGAATGCCATAAAACACACCTTCCATTCTCCTTGGTCTTACGACCTAGCACACTACTGTCTTTCTGTTTTATTAGACTTTGCTTGGATTCCTCACTCTTATTCCAAGAATCCATCAGAATTTATCAAAACCACGAATTTAATGAGAGCAGCTATAAACATGCTTAGCTTTGTTACCTGGCCACATCAATCCTTCAGTGACTCCCAGATGGTTGTCCATTCACGTACAGGGAACCTGACAGGAGCTCTCCCTGGAGTCTGTGTTGTCCACCTGCTCTTCTTTTGGAGTGGATTTGTGTGGCCAGAAGAGGGCAGCACTGCAGGTGTGGTTACCTGGTAATGGTGACACTCTCAGAGCCCAAAGGGCCTGACTAAATGGCAGGTGTTCTAGGATTGCTTTACGTGGCCCAGGTTTTCCACTAGGCACGAAAATGGCCAGACTGAAATGATACAGAGACTAAAGTAAACTAAGCCTTGAGGAATGTGTGCCCAGTGGTATTGAGAGACTCCTCTGCTCCACAGGATGAATGGTTACACAGTGCCCTGCACACCCTGGAGGGGTGCATGGTAAACACCCCGTGGAAAGTGGACCTGCAGAGCTAGGGCTGGACAGCTCTGCAGGCAGAAGGTAGAGGAGTAAAGGCAGAGAGCCTGATGGGGCAAAGGCAGGTATGCTGAGAAGCCAACTGCAGTTTGCTTGGGGCAAGGAGATGAGCATTTAGACTGTAGGCAGAGGTAGGTGCAATCCTAAAGGTTAAGAGACTAACAGTGATATGAACACTGAACATTTGCTATTTATCAGAGCATGATGATTTTAAGTACTTTCCAAGTCCAACTCTGCAAATCCTCTTAGCAACCACAAGGCTCCTATGATACGGACACGGAGACCGGGTGTTGCTAGTCAGGTTCTCTGGGAAGAAAACCAAGATAAGAGTTTTCTAGAGAGTTCTCCTGGGATCAACACCAGGGGAGTGGAAGGGGGTTAAAAGGAGTAGGAGGAAGCAGGACTGGACAGGGGAAAAGTGGATGGTGATGTAGTCTCAATAAAGGCCACAGCCTGACTCATGGGCCGCTCTAAGGTTGGGACAGCCCTTCAGAGAGCTTTCATCATGGCATGGGTGGGTGGGGAGAGGCCTTGGCTTTCACACCCTCGTGTCAACTAGGCACTGGATGCTGGTGCCCCAGAGAAGGGGGCATGGCCTTGGATGGCTCCATGAAGTGTGTGTGGGAGGGAGGGAGCAGACTGTGGGAAGAGACCCAGCTGAGGGCTGTCAGCCTGCAGTACTCCATCACAAACCTGAGGAAACAACTGCTTGAGTCCACTGTCCTGAACTTCAAATGCTTACCCAGACTGGCCAGGCTCATCACAGGAGAGGCAGGACTGGAAACCAGGGCAGCCCGGCCTCAGTCTGGGTTTAAGCACTTCTACCTCATCACTCTATTGCAGTGTCCATGGGGGATTTGTTCCAGGACATCTACATACAGGGAATAAGACCTATGGATGCTCAAGGCCTTTCTATCAAATGACAGAATATTTTCACTGCACTATATATATCTTTCCATAAGCTATGCATCCTTCCATGAGCTAGCTTCTTGATATCCTCTTACAACGTAGGTGCTATCAACTAGGGATAAAGAGTCTACACCTGTTCAGGTAACCATCATAGGCCTAATTGCTTTGCATGTACATGCACATACACACACAAGGCAAACACTGCTGCAGCAACAGGGGCTGGAGAGACGGGGGTGGGCATGGTGGAAGGAGGGGAAGCTACAGCAGGGTATGACCACACCTCCCTTCACTTGCATGGCCTCAGCATAACCCTGGGCACACCACAAATTCAAGTTTCACTTCGTATAAACTTTCTGGAAGTTTTATTTTTTTTTTCTCAAGTATTTTTTGAGTCGAGACGGGTTGAACCTGCAAATGCTGATGTCATAGACGCAGAGGGCTGACTGTATGGGAGCAGAAACCCAAGCTCAGACCTTCTATTGAAGGCTCACTCTAGATAATGCAGAACAGGTGGGAGCACAAGGAACCATGCAGGCAGACCCCTCCATTTTAGGTAGATCTGTGTCCTACCTTCTACATGCTACTATACATCCTACATGCTCTACACATGGGGACACAGAATTCAAGACACAAGGATACACAATGAAAATACATCTCACTCCCGTGCTCTCTGCTTCCCAGACATGGCCAACGTCCTTGCCACGCCTTGCATAGACACACACGGGCACTGTATTTTACACTCTCGGTGTCACACACACAGTTCTGCTCCATGCTTTTAGACATACACCAAACACTCAGATACTGCCTTGCCATCTCAGAGAGCAAACCTTTCCATCCCACACACGGTCCAAAACTGAATCCACCAGACCTCTCTCCATAGGCGTTTTAAGACGGCCTCCAGTCTTTTATCACAGGCACGCCTTGTATCACAGGTAACACTCAGAATATAATTCCAAACCAAAGGAAAGAGCAGCACACAGCAGAGACTCGGTGAGCATCCGAGTCAAAGGGGGGATTCACTGGGCAGAGGGCCACACGGGGTCACAATCAGGGATGTTCCACGTTTTGAACCCCCACCCAGGCCTGGAGCTGCGGGGAGCGGGGCTGTCGAGACTGTCCAGGGGGCATGAGACTCACCTGCCTCTCCCATCGTGGGATTTCCTCTCCCCAGCTCATGTGCTCCTCGGTGCAGAAGGCCCTGTTTGAAGAAGAGGACCATGTCAAGAAGCTGCAGCAGAAGGTGGCCACGCTGGAGAAGCGGAACAAGCAGCTCCGGGAGCGCGTCAAGAAGGTCAAACGCTCCCTGCGGCAAGCACGCAAGAATGGCCGCCACCTGCAGCTGGTAAACCAGAAGCTCAGCGAGAAGCTGGCGGCTGCTGCAGCACCACTACACTTCAATGCACTGGGGCGGGAGCCCGCGCGTGCCCCCTACCTGCGCGGGTAGCACAGGGGCACCAGGTGGCCAGGAGGCTGCCGAGCTCATGCCCTGCCTCGCCTGCTCTGAGAGGAAGGTGGGATTGGAAGATTTCGGTGCTTTTATGCCTGCACCTGTTTTCAAACCTTGTCGGAGTTACTTTTCTTAATGCACCTGGATAAACTAGCAAAACTGGCTTTTCCCCGTGGTTGCTGACCACCCTGGCCTCAGTCAGGCCCCAGGCACACCTGCCTGCAAGTGCAGGCCTGCGCTCTGACCCTTAGCTTCTGCGAACAGCCCCGGGATGGCATGAGCTTGGGTACAAGATAGCGGCTTAGCATTCACATCCGAAGAGCGTCAGTGTCACACTCAGCTCTCAGATACTGACAAGTGAGCTGCAACACTGGGCCTGGAACTTGCGGGTGTTTTTTAAAAGGAGGGTACCCATAAACTAATGCATGCAAGGGGCCACTCCTGGCCCCAGCCAGTGACTCCCTCAGCCGAGGCCTGTTAAGGTCTGATTAGCTCAACTCAGCTGAGGGAAGTGAGTTGGGACTAGGGCAGCATCATGTAGTGCAGCAAGGTGATGCAGAGGGCCAGCTCCCTAGCTTGCAGACGATGCCTATGGCTAGCCTTAGAGGGCAGCTGCTGATCCGAGCCCCACGATGTCATCCAACTGCGGTTGGAAGAACCTGAGAGCCACTGCAGCCACTACTCAACTCTGACTTGCTCAGTCATTGTTTCTAGCATCTCTGCTGGAATCCAAGGTCAGATGCCTTCTTCTCCCCAGTCACGAATTTCCATGCTGCCAAGACACCCCCTGCCCTCCTCATTCCCATTCATGTCCCCCAAAAGCTTCCTCCAGCCATTCCCAGCTCTGCCTTTTGACATGTGGGCCTGTGCCCTACCTCCCCCGCAAAGGCCCACCCACACCCTGATAATCATGTCACCACCAGTCAGTGCACTTGTCATTATGTTAGTTCCCTATAAGAAAAAAGCACTTTATCCTGGTTGCAAAGAAAGTACCACAGTGAGAGGGAGAGCATTCTCTCGCATTACCCCTTGAGCACACCCAATCCAAAGTCCATTGAGGGGCACCTCTTAACTGTTCTGTCTCAGTGATCCCACAAACCACTGCCTCTCATCAAGATGCGCCACCCAGAGACCCTCACTGACACTGCAGGCTCTACCAAAGCTGTCATCTCCTGCAAAAAAAAAAAAAAAAAAATGGTGCAGATGGTCAGATTTCTCCTCATCTGCCTCTCGTAAAACCAGGTGCTTCCTGTGCTGGCTGCCAGTATGGCAAGGGAAGCTTTGTGCCACTGAAGCCTAGTGACAGCTAATGCAGTAAGGGGCACATCTGTGCCCTGGACCAGAAAGGAAGGGAACGTCTGCCCAGGGGCATGCAGGTTGCCAAACTCTGCCACCACTCTCTTAGCCATAGTCTGCACAGTATGGAATGATAGAAGGTGCACCTGCTAGCGTGTTCTTGCTGGAGGCTTGTCATTAAAGCAGGCTTGCTCCCACCCTGGGGAACGGGAAGGCTGAGGGTGCCATGCAGCCGGTGCCTGAAGAACTGTGCACACTGGTTCCCCGCAGGTACATGATGTTTTGCTTTTCCAATAAACCAGAGCGGCAGTTTCAACCGCAACAGAGAGGCCATGAGTGTTTTTCTGGGGTCAGGCACATTTCGGGACTTCCAACTTTGGCCTGCAAAAGTGAAAATCACTACGGAGAAAATGCCTATGAGTCACACCTGGGAACTTGTCGGCACCTGCTCTGCCCATCTGGATGTTGCTTAACCCTGCCTCGCCCCTGGCTGCCATCCTTCAGCATCTGCAGGAAAGCAGCATTAGCTTGCCATGCTGCACACAGGAGACAAGCAGCTTCATTAATCAGTGCCTTCAGAAGCGCACTGTGTGCTGGGATCTGTGGCTGGAGGGGACTGCCGCACAGTCAGCTGCGTGCAGCCCCAACATCTGTTCCTTGTCCTAATAGGACATCCATATGTTCCAGACTCTGGGAATTAGGCAGTACTTGACATGTTTGAGCTAGCCTGGCTGGGCACCATCTAGGAAATGCAAGTTGTGGTTGAGTTTCCCCTTATGGTCATAGGAAGCCACGTGACTTTTTCAAAGTCACATGAGAAGCACGAGGCAAGTGCAATCTAGAATCTTTACAAGTTTTTGGGCATGGTCACAAGTAGGCAGCATGTGCACCACCAGTGGCTTAGGGCTGAGCTTTCTTTGGCACCCCCAGTGTGTTTAAATGTGGATGCGCTTGGTGGTTCCAGTGGAGGCCACCTTGTCTACACCAGCTGCTTTCTAATTCCCTTATTGTTACCTTTTAATACCAGGTCACACCACAAATGGAAGATCCCCACTCAGGGACAGACATTCACACAGATCCACATGCCCTCATGTAAAGCCTCACCTAGGGGAGGGATTGCAAACTCAAACCACAGTGGCTGTGGCTGTGACTTCTTTCTTTCCTTCCTTCTTTCCTTCCTTTCTTCCTTCCTTCCTTCCTTCCTTCCTTCCTTCCTTCCTTCCTTCCTTCTTGAAAAATCAAATACCTAGCATGTAGTAAGGCACAGCTGCACAGAGAGAAGGACAGACTAAGGGGTCTTCCATCCACAGGTTCGCTCCCTTATGTCCACAAAGCTGGAGCTGAGCTGACCCAAAGTCAGGAGCCTGGAGCCTCTTCCAGGTCTCCCACATGCTATAGGGGCCCAAGGACCTGATCCATCTCCCACTACTTTCCCATGGCATAAGCAGGGAGCTGGATCAAAAGCAGAGCAGCAGGGACATGAATGGGCACCCATATGAGATACTAGCACCACAATTAGAGGCTTAGCTTACTACTCCATGGCTCCAGGCCCATTAGTAGTGGGCTCTTTATTACAAGATATCCCATTTAAAATTCCCGATCATTTTATAAAATAGACTGATCATTGTTTTCCAAGAGGAACCAGAGACTTCGAAAGGTCAACTCCGCTGCCTACATCATGCATCAGTGCAAGTGGCCCAACAAGGACTCAGCCCCATCTTCATTTCCATCTATACTTGCTCAGTAAAACATCAGTCTCTAACCCTCAAGGCTGTTGGGAGAACTGAATGAGATTCTGCATTTGGTCACCCAACACAATACCACTGCTCAGTAAACTGACTTTTTCTTCAAGTTGAATTAAATTTTGGTAGCTACAGAATCCAGTGATACCACATTGGACAGTGCACAGCCAGAAACACCTTCAGCATCTCAAAGGAAGAGTTACACAGAGAGAAGGAGAGACAGAGAAAGGGACTGAGATCTTCCATTTGCTAGTTCACTCCCCGTGGCCTCCACAGCCGGAGCTGAGCTGCTTCCAAGTAGGGCTGCCTGCTTCCAATCCACAAGGCTACTCCCAGGAGCCTGTTCTCTGCTCATTTTTGCCAAAGGAACCCCAGGTACCATGGCCAGTTAGATCTCTATCTTCCAGCCTACATTTCCAAGCCTTTCATCGGGTGCCCAATAACATACAAGCAAAAGCTGCCAAGTAGAACTTATAGGAAAACTCCCTAAAGCATACTTAACTTCACTCTTTGGACTTTCCCTTCTTTTTTCTTCTTTCTAGAGTTTCTAGAACAAGTTCTTCTAGAATTTCTATATGGTGGTTTGAGCTCTAACAGAACTGGTTTTTTTTTTTCAAAGATTTATTTATTTTTATTGAAAAGGCAGATATACAGAGAGGAGGAGAGACAGGGAGATCTTCCATCCAATGGTTCACTTCCCCCAAGTGGCTGCTATGGCTGGAGCTGAGCCAATCCTAAGCCAGGAGCCTCTTCCGGGTCTCCCACATGGGTGCAGAGTCCCAAGGCTTTGTGCCATCCTCAACTGCTTTCCCAGGCCACAGGCAAGGAGCTGGATGGGAAGTGGAGCTGCCAGGATTAGAATCAGCGTCCATATGGGATCCTGGTGTGCAGTCACCATAGGGTAGGAACCATCTACCACATGCAGTCTTGAGACACATCTGGGCTCAGGATGTCACTGAGGCTGTGACTGCACACAGACAACAGGTCTGCAGCAAATCTCAACTTGGTGTGCCACCTAGTGCTGAAGTGGTAAAAAAGTTCCCAGATACAAGGGAAACATGCAGGTGGCTTAGAATTTTCTAGAAGGACAGCCACAAATGAAGTCCTAGGGGGAAAAAAATAACTAACCCTTCAATATACAAGTGACATCACATGTCAACAAACATCAAGCTTCTTCAGGAAACTATGACCTCACTTAGTGAACAAAGTAGGTTTCCAGAACCCACCTGCTTACTTCGTCAAATGCTCAGATAATAGACATCTTATAAAAACTTGACAAACTTCAGGAGAACACAGAAATAATTCAACACTAACAGAGAAGCTTGACAGATAAAGGGAAGTGATTCTTGAAAAGTACACAGAGTAAAATGTAGAACATGAGAAGTATCAGTAGTAGAACTAAACAAGTAAAAGAAGCAAACTATCTGAAAACACACAGAGGAGAAAAAAAAAATCTAAAGAGTCCAAAGGAATGAAAAGAGGTTAGGAGAACTTTGGGACTGCATAAAAAGAGCAAAACATCCAGGTAACTGGAATTCCAAAGCAACTTGAGATTGCCAGTGGGACAGAAAGTACAGCCAGAGATAACAATAGAGAATATAAAAAACCTGGCAAAGGACGCTACCCTGGGATAGGTGGGGATGAGCTCACCAGGAAGATTCAACTCAGCTCAGTCCACCTGGAGACAGAATCAAGGCCACCAAGGTCAGAGAAACACACTCCCAAAGCTGCGAGAGAAGCTGGTAAAGTAGAAGGGGTCCCCACTGATTCAACTGCAGCTTTTCAGTAGGTCAGGAGGAAGTAAACTGAGGCTTCAACAGTGCTCAGAGTTAAAAAGAAAGAAAGCCTTCCAGCCAACGATACCCACCCAGAAACTCTAGTCTTCAGAGAGCAAGGAGGGGCACGGGCGTTTGGTGCAATGGTGAAGTCACCACTTAGGATACCTGCATTCCCCAGTGG